GCTGGCTGGCTCTCCCTCCAGCACCTGTTTGCTTGCCCTGAGCTTTTCCCATATGCCTTCGACACTCAAGATGATTCTCAGGGTGGCATCTTCCTGTGCTCTCAAAACTCGAATTAGTCAATTATTGCGCATTTTTACAATTAGTATAATTACACCTAACTACATAATTAGTGTAAATACGTGAAATGACAGACGTCACAGTACATCCTGGTGTGGAAACCCTTGTTAAAGTTTGAGAGTCGGGCAGGGTAGGTCTGCTGTAGGTGGAGCCCATTGGTGAGGAGGCTGTGTGATGATCCCAGAATATACTGGGTAGCTATCTCTGATACCTCTGACTGAGCCAAGTGGGACCCCAGGTTGTTACAGGATGTAGATTTGTTTTTGGTTTTTTTTTTTTGGTGTTAAAGTTTGTACCATACTCTACCACTGGGCTGTTATACATCCCCAGCCTTCTGGAACTTTTTATTTTGAGACAAGGTCTCACTATGTTGCCTAGGCCGGCCTTGAATTCATGGATTTTCAAATTGTCCTCCTGCTTCAGCACCCTTAGTAGCTGGGATTACAGGCCTTTGCCACCAGGCAAGGCATGAATGTTGGTTTTGTAAAGGAACTTTTGGTAGTGAGGCCTCCAAGCCTGGCAGACTTTCATCAGTACAAGATTGCCGGAAGATGATGGTAACAGCCCAGGAAGCCTTGTGCATGGCTGTAGAGACAGGGTCTCATGTAACCCAGGCAGGTCTCAGGCTAACTGTGCAGCCGAGGATGATCTTGAGCTCCTGATCCTCCAGCTTCCTCCCAAGTGCTGGGATTATAGGCATGTGCCACCATACCTGGTATCTGCAGTGCTGGGGATGGAACCCAGGGCTTCATGCATGCTAGGTAAGCACTGAACACAGAGAGCTACAATCCCACCCCACAGCCGTACTGTTACACCACAAAGCCACCATGGAGGTGGGATTGGCTCCGTTTCAGGAAGTATGAACCCAGGCTCAGCAGCGTGTAGCCTGTTCTATTTCCCATGTTCCATCTTGAGGCATAGTGGGTACACAGGTAATAGAGCCCTCTAGCCTCTGCAGCAGTTCAAGGGACTTCCAGCATGAACAGGGCAGAGACATGCAGTTGGGTCTCCCCTGCAGACAGCCACTGAGAAAAAGGCAGATACTTCCCCCGTTTTATGAGTTTCAAATGAGACCAAAAGAATGTATAGGCCAGGAAACCCATGTCAGTGATGTTCGCAGGAACTGAGTCCAAACAGTACCCAGGAGAAGTAGCTGCAGGAGGTCCAGGCGTTCTGGGCACAGCACCACTCCCTGAAGACAAGAAGGCCGTGTGTACCTGCAGAAGGGAAGGGAGCATTCCCGAGCTGGACGGAGGCCCGTCACAGACGACTGGCCTCACAGACAAACCTTTCCACCCCACACAGCCCCACTGGCACTCAAAGTGAAGGGCTTAAACTTTAGATTGAAACTTGAAGATTGAAATAAAAGCAAAAACCAGCACCTGTGGATGGAAATGTAATAAGGTCACGTTATTGTGTCCTAAGCAGATGTAACATTTTAACTCATGTCAGCAAATACTCCAGCTGAATCCCCACTTGGGACTGCATGAGGGTGCAGCTGTGAAATTTCACATGACCACATAAGAAGAGCCAGAGAAACTCAGACCAGGAAAATAGTGAGGTTCAAATCCTCTTGTGTATTGAAACCTGCCAGAAAGCCCTAATGACTGAGTGTGGCTGCAGCTCACAGGTAAGAATGTCCAGAGCAAAAGACCCAGAGGTATACTCAGATGTGATGAGGAAGTGTCTCCTTCAGTTAGAGAGGTGAGACGATGGACTCATGGGTAAATGGGATGGGCACACTGGCAGCCATATGCAAAACAAATCTGTACTTCACACTTCCTGCCCAGGGAGTCCCCAGCCAAGACTCAGAGAACCAAAGAAAATACTGACAAATCCTTTGACATGGAACACTTTACAACTTCCTGTGAAAGTACAGTCCTGCTGGAGAGGAGAGAGAACAGGGGGCTGCTGCACCTGTGCGGAACTGTCACACTTCAGTGTGGACCCGGCGGGCACAGCAGTGAGTCTCAGTGGCAGCAGGTGCCTGGAGAGATGTGGTGAGGACACCTTCCCTCTGTGGTGTCCCACATTCATCACTGCAGCTCACCATGAGGAAAACAAATCCTGATTTTCAAAATGCCTGTCCAGGACCTGTCAGAACCGCCCAGTGCTTACCTAACTCAGTGCTGACATTGGGGCCATCCGGAAGAGATTAGTGCAGCCCTGAGCAAGGGTGATGTGTGAATTTGTGAAACGTTCTGTTTGGGGTTTGTTTTGGCTTTTCCAAACATGGTGGCACACCCGTCATTCCAGAACTTTGGAGACAGACACAGGAGAATTGCTAGTTTGAGGTCAGCCTGGGCTACATCGCTTATATAACTAGACCCTGTCCAAAAAAACAAAACATAAACAAAAATCTGCAAGGAAAAGATGGGACACTGTGGCAGACTTGGGACTTAGTAGGGACACAGGAAGACCAAGTATCACTTCTGGGACCTGAATGGGCTCCTGGCAGAGACCCGCATAAAAACCAAGCTATCCAAATAAAGCAGGCTTTACACATGGACACGGGCTTTTCATAATGCTGTGGTTAGCAGCGGGAGTGGGTGCTGGGGGCGCAGGTCCACTCATGAGTAG